CAGGAACGTCCCTGTTCGTTGTGACAGTTAAGGTCTCCAGCTGTTGTTACACATGTTGGTTGCCTGGGAGGCACAGTGGTCCCTGAGTGAGCACCCTTGCTCTAGACCAGCGGTTCTCAACCTGTGGGTCCTGACCCCTTTGGGGGAAGGAGGTGGTCGAACGACCCTTTCACAGGGGTTGCCCGATTCCTAACAATAGCAAAATGACAGTGATGAAGTAGCAACGATAATAATTTTACGGTTGGGGGGTCACCACACCATGAGGCGCTGTAATAAAGGGCCCAGGCATTAGGAAGGTTGAGAACCACTGCTCTAGACTCACCTAGGCTGACGCCCTGGCCACCCAGACCCGGAGGTCCAGTTACAAACCAAAAGGAAGATAATTTGCAGCCGATAACCCATCCGCTCTCTTTTTCAGAACCCTCAGTTCGACCCTGTCCTGTTGGGTTCCCACGGATTCAATAGCCCCGAGGTTCGGTGATTGTTTTTAGGAGACACAGGCCCTCTGGGGGGGCCAGTGTTCTTCCAGCCCAATCACCTTTGCCCCTTCCTAGAAAGCCCTATGCAATTCAGACCTTGACCATCACCTACAGGGCCCTACAAAAGCGGCTCCTTCACCTCCCAAGGAGCCTCCTTTCCTTTCACTCATTCTCTACCCACTCGCACTTCGCTTCCTCTGTTCCAGCCACCCTCATCTCCCTCCTCTCCCTCAGTGCACCAGACACACGCAGCCCTGAAGGCCTTTGCACTGGCCATTCCTACTTACTACCTGGGACCTTCTCCCCTCAGACACACACACACACACCCCTTTCTGCTCTCCCTTAAATCGGGTTCTCTGTGCACACGTCGGCTCCTCCGAGAGGCCTGCTCTGACGCCAGGGCCCCTCTCACCTCACCCATTTCTTTTCTTCACACCCAGCTCCCCCATTCAGAGTTATCACCTGTACTTGCTGCGACTGCCTCACCCACCCCTCTGAGAACCCCAGGATGGCTGCTACTGGGTCTACGTTATTGCACCCTGGCCTGTAAGATGCCCCCCTGGACATTGGTGAGATGAGCGGATATGGTGCAAACAAGGAAACAGGGGGCTCAGACACCTCGGAGCGCTGGGGAGAGAAGGCTCCCGGGAGGAAAATGGCAAAACTTGGATGTGAACTTGTCCTTCGGCTGTCTCCCCAAACACTGCTGTCTGCCCAAAGCCCCAGTTTCCGGCAGCTCAGAGGAGCTTGTGGTCCCTCTGATACCACGGAGAGATGAAGCACCCTGGCAGTCACTGGCTTGGATTTGCAGCCTTGGGGACGCCTCCTTCCTCTCTGCTGATGTCACTTGGGGAAGTGTGTCTTCAAAACACAAGCTCTGCCTGCCCAGCCCTGCCCCACACGTCTCAGCCTTACCACAGTCCTGGAGATGAGCAGTCTCACCGGTGTGTGTGCTTGGGGGAGTGGGGCCCCGCTTCTACTAAAGACAAAGCTGATGTTGGGGGACAGCTGGCAGCCAGGGCGAGAAGTGACTCTCACCCAGCAGGTGAATTGCAAAAGTCAGAGATCTGACTCTTTGGGGCCTCAATTTTGCTGTGTGACCTTGGGCAAGTCATTGAGTCTCCGTTTCTTTGGCAGGTATGAGGAGCCAGCGAAGCATGTTGGGTGCCCGTGGAATTGATTTTGGCTCCTGATGAACTCATGAGGGACCAAGGAGTACTGCCCAGGGCCGTTTCCGTGGCTGGAATCTTAACCAAAATAGCTCTCCAGGCCGTTTCTTCTGAGGTTAAGGCTGGGTGGGTGCCTTTCAACTGGGTTATAAGTCAAGCGCACATCACAGGCGCCCGCCACCTAGGGACCTGAGATGCTGAAACTCAATAGACAGACATGGATCCGGGCAAGGGCGCGCAGACCCGAAAGAAACTCCGCGTCGCTGTCTTAACTTTGCAACCAAGTTGCTCTCCTCTGTGTCCGCCAGGCGGCCCTCTCCGCCACCCAGAGCTGGAAACGGGTGGAGGGGGATTGGGACAGCGCTGTACTGTAGTCCCAGTTCAGGGAGGGCCAGCACCCCACCCGGAGCCTGCGGCCGGCCGGCCTGGCGCCCGCTCTCCCGGACGCTCAATAACCATGAAATAATAATCCGGGGCGCCGTGGCCGCTGTAGCGGCGGCGGCGGCGGCCACTTTGCTCCGAGACGGAACGTCCCAGAGGCTGGTCCGGCTTGGGAGAGCACAGCCAGGCTGCGCCTTTCCCATCGCCATCCAGCAGGGTGCGCGCGTGGGGACACCCTGAGAGAGGGGCGCGCTGGCGACCAGGGCTGGCGAGGACCGCAGTGGAGACAGCGAGCAAGAGCAAGGGCCAGAGAAAGTCCAGCGCAGCTGCCCCCACCCCTCTCAGGATCCACGCGGGGTTTCATCAGCGTTCCTCCTGGTGGGGAGAGTTTGGGGCACCCAGCCGG